TAGCCACAAAACACCAGAAAGAAAAAAAAAACTGGTAAAAAAGAAAAACTGTTTTTGTTCGTTGGAATAAAGAGAAGCACGTCTACACAATAACAGTCATTAAGTGCAGGGCAAACAGAAAGAAATCACACTGGGACACAAAAAAAAAAGAAGAAAAGAAGAAGGACCTACAACTGGCATCCTCCAACCACCCTCTAAGAAACACTATGAACAGAAGAAGAAGGAGCAGACCACTACAACAAAGCACCAACCAACCATCCGCCCGCCCTGGATTCAAACTGGGAGGAGCATTACATTACACGCGTGCCCAACATCCCATGTTAACAAAAAGTTACAAAACATTTTTCACATATTCAAGGGTTATCCTACTACGTCAAATACATGTAATACAACGTTAAATATACACAACAGAACAGATAAGGCTTCCCATCACCACTGGGGGGGTAAATGTACATTACATACATACACTACATATGTACTAACCACAGAGATCGTGCGTAGATTCACATACATCAAAACAGATTGACATCATTCTAATAATACAGTGATCAACAATAACAACACAAAACATTTTAAAATAAAACATCTTTGAGAAAAATTGAGAAAAAAAAAGCAGTATTTCACAAAGAGAATTTACAATCAGAAACCTGTACCTAAGTGGTATGTCGACCAAATAAGCCCAAATGCAGGGTTCAAATTGACACAAAACAAAACATACAGCTTCTTTGGCTTCAAATGCTTTTGTCATCTTTTTACCCCTGTCCCTAGATAAAAATAGTAAAATATTTGACGCTAAAAATAGCCTAATAATTGAGAGAACTTTTGAATTCCTGTCAGTATCCAATGAATTAATTATGATGAAATATGCGCAGACAGATACTCCAGTACAAGAATGATACAAAATTGAGATTATAATCGTATGTAAACATGAAAGACAAAAATATACACCTCAATTATAAGCAAGGAAACAGAGTGTAAAGTGTCAAATAAAACTAATGCATGTTTACTATTATAAGTAAGGCATATATATATATATATATATATATATATATATTCTTATTGCATGATAAAGTAAATTCAGAAATTAATGTTGGGCTGTAGCAGTTGTATACATTTCTTCACCCATAACAGTTGTATACATTTCTTTAACATCTTGTCTGTACATTTAGGAAATTTGCTGAGTGTTGCCTGGTGGCTGGTGAATAATTGTGTACTTTAACCCTACCCGTACGCCCTGGGGTCATTTTGTACCCCCGGGGTTGTATTCTTCACATTTTAGAATACTTGTAACTTCTAGTGCGGAGATTTTTTTGAAACTTTCAGTATTTTTCAAAAAATCCTTTTGAAAGATTGCTATGCAAAGCGTACAGATCGGATTAACGAGTAAATTTCCTCTTTGGAAAGTGGGGCACAGAGTTCCCCACGTCGCATGGATATGATAGTAAAACATGACGTACGGATAGGGTTAAGCTCATACTTTGGGCACTATCCCAACTTTCCACGGAGAAGTGTTTGTTGGAAAATGCAAAATGTGTTTTTGATATGAATGGAAGCCCTCTCTCTATTCCCGACCCCTACCTCTCTCCCCCCCCCTCCCTCTCTCTCTCTCTCTCCCCCTCCCTGGTTGGGTAGGTGGCTAGGATTAAAGGTACCATGCCTGTATGCTTGAGAATGTTTTAAAATTAAGTCTAATTGAAAATATCTTCTTCTTAAATCATCAAGTTGGCCAAAAAAAAGAATCTGGACGACTACTCCAATCTGCACAGAGAAGAACCTGGATGACTATTATGAACTTAACGGAGGGGATCCCTACATACTAGGTTAAGAACAACTTTACAGAAAAGAAGTTCAAACTGCTATGAATATTGGAAAGAAGGTCCACTACATAGATTTTATAGATTATAGGACACACTAACATGATATCGAGAAAAGAAATCAACTGCTTTCATAATCTTCAAAAGATTTTAACCCTGTCCGTATGCCCTAGGGTCATTTTGTACCCCCTAGGGTTTATTCTTCACATTTTACAATACTTCTAGTATGAAGATCTCTTTGAAACTTTCAGTATTTCTCAAAAAATCATTTTGACAGACTGCTATGCAAAGCATACGGATCGGGATAACGAGTAAATTTCCTCTTTGGAAAGTGGTGGCACAGCGTTCCCCAGGTCATATGGATACGATAGTAAAACACGACATACAGACAGGGTTAAACATAGCGTAAGCATATTTAGGCTTTTTTTTTTTCTTTTGTTGTACACCCACATTACACACACTCTTCCTAACATGTCTTCATGCTGAATGTACAGACATTTATCACTTCTGAAATTTGTTGTAAACACAGAAGGCAGTAAGTCATTCACACAATATTATGTTTGTAACGAACAGTTGTTTCAGATGTTCTTGTGTAAGTGGGATAACAGTAAGCAGTAATGAGAAGCTTGCAACCACAAGCTTCTGCTTCTCTTCGGTGTTGCCAAATTCATGACATAAAACAGAGGTGGGAACATGCTAGGAACCCTCCATCCCCTCCCCCGTACTTTTCAGACCCCAGTGAAAGGCCTACGAGGGGACTCTCCAAATTTATGTATCATCAATTTTTCTAATATATTTTGATTCAAGACTATTTATATTCGATTGCTCTGAAATCGGGCAATTTCACAATCCCGATTTCCAGTGATTTATCTGGAAAATCAGCACCTCTGCCAAAAAAAAACCCAATACAAAGATATATAAGGTACATTTAGACAGCAAAACCAACTTGCAAACACTTGTCGACATTTTAAAAAGAACCAAAAAAAAAAAAAGAATTCAGAGGAGGTAAATGGTCAAATATAGTATAGATAATAACTAAAGCATGCCAGTGATTAAACAAAAGCAGGTGTTAGAGCTAAAAAGAACAGGGATATAATAGTTTGTGCATGCAGTGTTAATGGACAAACCACACCCATGACAGAAAAGCTTTTAAACACTGGGCAATCTGTGCTGTGAATTGTTGGAGACATATGAGATTCTTTCTTTATATAATAAATCATAAGGGGAAAGGGAGAGGGGGTGGGGGGTG